CTAAGGTCTAAGAATGAATTTTAAGCATAGGTCAGGTAATGTCACTCCTTGGCTCAAAATCCTGCATCACCTCTCTCCAAGGTCATTAGAATGGCTACAAAGACGTACATGTACCATCTGGCCCATGGATCCTTCATTTACTGCCCACCACTCTAGTCTCTAGCTCACTTGCAATTCAACTACACTCAAGGCCTTGGCACTTGCTGTTCCTTCTACCTGGAATGCTCCCCAACTCCCCAGACCTCTTCCCCCACCACTAGGGTTTAATCTCTCACCACCTTCAAGCCTCTGCTCAAATGTCACCTTCTCATTGATATATTAATATTGTCTGTCTCTTCCCACTAGAATGTAAGTTCCTCGAGACAGGGACTGTTTTATTGGCTACTGTATTCCCAGGGCCTGGAGCTGTGCCTGCCACACATTGAGTGCCCGGGAAACAACTAGAGGAGTAATGAATAAATGATCCTGTATTTAGGTTCTATCAGATGCCAGATATCATGCTAAGTGCATCACCTCATTAAATGTCTTATTGAATTCCCACAAGCCAATGCAGTAGATATTATTATTTGTATTTTACACATGAAAAAAACGGGCTAAGTGAAGAAAAAAAAGTAACAATAAAAAAAATGGAAAGGACTGAGGTGTAAGGTTATTAGAAAAGAAAACTTTTCATGATCCCCAAGTTCTGGGTCTGACCTGGAGCCAAATCCATTTACATTATGTACCATCTTTACTGGTTTTCCTTCCAGTTGGTCTGGCTAGAGGAAATGCAAGCTTACTCTGGTATTTACCTAAATGGAATGTAATTAAGGAGGCAAAAATCCTGCTTTCAATGACCCCAGGACAAGGCTACCAGTGGGAGAATTCTTGTTTTGTTTGCTGATATTTTCCCATTATAAACACAGATAATAAAGATATTTTCTGAATATTCAAATAGTTCTTACTCCTCTGCCCAATTACTTAAAACAACAACAACAAAAACAAAAACAAAACTACCTTTTATACTGTATGTTATTAATGACCTGGTAGAAGTGGATACTTGAACAAGTTTATTAATTTGCTCAAAAATGAGCTCTAATACATCATAAGAATTTTTTTTCTCCTTGTAATTAGATTGTTTCCCGGCTAAGCATCTGCCAAAATGAAAATACAGTCCTGTGACCAGTGTTAAAGAGTGATTCTGGTAGCACTGAGCAATCATCTAAAAAGACAGACTGTGCTAGAAAGCAGGCCCAGAGCCATGCTCCTTCACTATGTACTTACCTCTCCAGATGATGTCATCTGGTCCCACAGCTTTTAATGCCATCTACATGTCTGTTCACTCCTAGGAAAATAGAACCCATGCTGGTGATGCAATAGAGGGAATTTCATCTAGGGAATCAGTTCCGAAGATGTTGGAAAAGCTGTAACAGGCCAACTATGGAGGGTGAGATCACCCAGAGAATATCAACAGCAGGAAGCTTCTACTCTCCCTAAGGCTAAGGCTGGGGAGACAAAGGAGGAAAGTGGGGTTTATGAGAGTTTATAAACAGTGGGAGCTGGGAACTTGAAGGAGAGTTGGCCCAGTGGGAATTCAAACCATAGAGGGGATTCATTAATTAATGCTAGAGATGCTACCCAAAGCAGGGAGAGGGGAAAGTAGTCTGGCTTCTTCCTTCCTCTTGACCTCTAGTCTTCTGCCAGTAGCTTCTATTGGTCATTTTCCCAGTAGCTATTAGCAAAGAAGCTTGGGAAATGTAGTTTGCGTGGGTCATCCCTCTCCCCACTCCAATTTCTATATGGAGCAGGGCAGAAAAGAGAAGGAAATAAGTCAGTGTACCAACAGGCACATGATGGACACTACTCCTATATTTATATCTCCAGCTCAGACCTGTTGTCTGAACTCAATTCTTACTTTCAATTGTTCACTTGACACCACCACTTGGGTGTCTAATAGTCTTAACTTAACATGGCCCAAACAGAACTCCTTTTTTACTGCCAACTCCCTGATTTTCCTTCTAAATACATGACTCATCCAGCTCAGCCAAAATTATGGTGTCATGTTAACTTCCTCTTTCTTTACTCCCTACTCTTTCCAACCTTTTATCAAGACCTGTTGATTCTACCTCCTCTCCAGTCTTTTTCACCTTCATTATTACCATCTTAGGCCAAACTGTCATCATTTCTCCCCTAGGTAACAATAATGACCTCTTAACTAGCCATGCTACCACCACTGTGTCTCTTTATCATTGTCCAATGGTCAGTTCTTGAAGATCTTGAGAACCAGTGTAAGGAGTCAGGATTTTATCTTAAGTGCTATAGGAGCCATGGAAGGGAGTGACACAATTTATGTCGTTGAGATCAGTCTAGCTTCCTTGAGGGAGCTAAAATATAAGGGGGCAAACATGGAAGAAGACCAGCTAGGCAGTGATTACACTTCTGAGCTTCCTTATTCCACATCCTGTACCAGCCCCCTTCCTCAGCAGCCACTAGCCTTCTCATTGTTCAAGCTCCTTCCTTCTTTAGAGCTTCCCACATCCTGGAATGCTCGTCCCGATTTTAGCATAACAGGCTCCACACCATTCAGGCCTCACCCTCTGAGATCTCTCCCGACCAGGCTGTAGTAATTACAGCTATTCACAAATATCCCACCTTTCTCCTATGGACACAAAGTAGGAGGCACTTCCCTGCATTCTAGAAGTTAGGTGTGCCCACATGACTTGCTTTGGCCAATAAAATGTGGGTGCAAGTGACATATGTCACTACTGTGTGGAAACTTGAAGAGCCAATGAGCACTTCATGATTTTCCTTCTACCGCAGTGAGTGGCAGAGTTCCAGGTAATGGCTACTCCTTTGGCCTGAGACCTGGACTGAGGATGACAATTATTCAGAACAGAACTCTCTGCCAACCCACGGACATGTGGCATGAGCAAGAAATAAATCTTTGCTGTTTTAAGTTAAAGACTTTGAGATCATTACCGCAGCATACCCAGCCTATCAGGGTTGATACAGTTGTTCAGTCCCTTATATCAGCCTGCATTATGTCCATATCATGGAAATTTCCACTAACTGGTAATTTCCACTTGTTTTATTTGATTTTGTTTCCACTATGCATCCTTCTCCAAACCTCATGAGAGCAGGGTGTCTGTCTACCTAGTTTGCTACTATACCCCCAGCTTCTAGAAGAGTGCCCAGTGCATAGTCAGTAGGCGAATATCTTTCGATTAAGCCTCTGATGCCTTGCATATACAAGCATTTGTTGCTTGAATGCTATTTTTCCAAGGCAACTGGAATGAATAAGTCTGTGCTCAGCATATCTGAAGAGCCAAAGCCTATTCACTCCTCTATTTGTATGTTAGAACGATTGCTTGGGTTACACCCTTCCAGATAATTCCCAGGAAAATCAAGTTGCTTCCAAAGTGACCGTGATTCCTTGGTCAGAAAAGGCTCCACTACAGACCATCTGCAGTAGATAAATAAAAAGGAATGAACTCTTAGAACCATAAACTATAAGCATGAAGTTGCCCAGAGTTAGGAGAGTGGGACAAAATTCATTTTAATACTGTTTTTACCACTAAATGGCAGAAAGTTGTTCTATCCTTTTTAAGGTTTTCTATGCCAGCTAAATCTAATGCCCCAGAAATGACCAAGTCTCAAATTTTACTATTGTGATAAAATATTAGCACTGAAAAACCCTTAGTGATTACTCAATTCGGACTACTTCATTTATCATCTGGCATGATGAATTTTAATTGGAAACCTCGTAGGGCCTCACTGTTGTCCGCCAGAAGCTTAGAAGCTCAAGTTATACAGATTGTGTTGTTTAATGTCACTGCCTTTTTAAACCAAATTAAAAAATAATTTTTCTACCACCCCATTATATAATTATAATAAAGTTGTAAAGACGATCCTGCTTATATGAATAACCCTACAATATTTTTAGGTTTTATATTTTTGCCCTAAAAGCAAAAATATTTTGTTCTTAAAAATTTTCCCTAAGGTTTCAAAATGTCTAAGATAGTGATGAAATAAGCTACTAAAAACTGTTATTATTGTACCTGTTCTTGCAGGAACCAGCAAGCATCATTTGTAGGGCGTTTTAGTTCTTTAGGACAACCAGAGGAAGGTAGTTACGTTCTACTTATTTAACTTAGTCTCCTAAACCCTATTCAATGAGACTGTATCTTCAATAAGCAAGTGTATTTTGTTTCATTTGCAAAAAAGAAGTTCATTACCAAAATACCAATTCACTAAACATTTGATCTGAAACTATCAACTTTTAACATTAACAGATGGCAATTTCTGCAAATTTGTCCAACCTAAACTCAATTTTATTACCTAGGTCCTAATCTTAAAGTTCAGATACTATGCACCCGCAGCTAAAACTTTTCAAAAAACATGAGCTCATCCCATTTTCCCCATATGCTAAAAATGGACAGTTCGAATATTGCAGGTCTCTCAAACACAAAGTGGTATTCACACAAAAGAAATCATTTACATATGGTTAAGGAAGCAGGACATTTTCACATTGGCTTTAATATTTATAGCGGACCCAAATTTTCCTGAACTCGGTAATCATAACTAACACTTTTTATAGAACTATTTACTGCATCTTAAAAGTAAAATAAAGCTAGTCAGAAAACAGAGTTGAAGAAAACGGGATGTCAGTCTATACAATGATTTTGTTTACTTTCAGCATGACAGGCTTTATTTTGGCACTTTAACAAATATTTTGCTTTACAGCAGTGACAAAATATTTGCCAGAAATTTTCTTTTCCTGGCATAGATATCCCAAACAGTTGTTATTCTATGAACTGAATTTCATTCTGCGTTGCACTGTTAGAGGGCTGCCCACTATTCTCTGAACCTCTGTAACTGAGGGACATCGTGTCGCTTCAGAAGGTGCTATCACTTCCTTTTAATCGATTCTGTACGTGATGGGGCAGGAATGTGAGAATTAAGGCCATTAAGAATTTAAGTAAACACTGTTCCAAGTGTTGCTTTAAATTTCGTTGTTTAAATGAGTCCTGTGGCAATTCCAGGGACTGTTTTCTATCTATATGAAGTAGTCATACTTTATTAAAAGTAAATTATATGTTGGAAAGGTATACTTTGGTGGCTCATAATTTTAAACAATGTTAATGGTAAAATAGAAAAAGAAATTGTTCAGTTAGAAAGAAGTACCCAGGCAGGGTACCCTCAGACTTCTGTCTCCTCCTCAGGCATAACGGCTTGCCAGCAATTTCAATCCTAAACAGTGAGGACCTCTTTTTAATGCAGAGCCTCCATGCCCTCCCATCTATTAGTACTTCATTAGCTTCAGGAGAGATTTGGAGCACAGTTCAAAGGTAAATCAAACTACAAAACTAAACCTTAGATACCGACGTCAAGGAAGCCCCTTCAGTTCTTTGGAATTTATAGCCCTAAAAGTAGTTTGCAAAAGCAGACATCTGTCTCAACATTGCCATCAGCTCTCCTATAAAGGTTGCAAACTTCACAACTCCCGCCCTGGCAGTCTTTCAATATCTACACCCCAACACACACAGGACAATATCTTCAGATTTCCTCTGGTTGATTCGGAGGCGAATCTGCAACAGCCTCAATGATGAGTTCTTTGGTTTTGATTTGCAGACGTTGTGGAACACTCAGAAATCAAACCCATGTCATCCTTGAGAGAAGACGGTTACTAGCAAAGGGGAGATGTACATTTGATCAAAATGTACAAAATTTATAACAGTGACATTTTCAATATTAGGCCACATGATTTATTCAGTAGTTTTTATGTTCCCAAATTACAATTTATGTCTATTCGTAATACTACAAAAGTTACCATTAGAATTGTCTGTGCTTATAAAATACCAACTTTTTAAACTGTTATATATACTCATTAACACCAGTCTGTGACGAGTTACATAGAATCATAGGCACTTCAAAGGCTTAAAAAGACGTTTACAACTTAAAAGCATTTTAAGAACAAAAACTGATTTTTTTTCCCTTAAACCCCTACTCGTACCTTCAAATTGCAAGAAATTAACAAATACAGTGGCCAAAGGAATCTGCAGCAACTTCTCAAAATACTGTTAGCATCTTTGGGTTTGCTGAGGCTTGTCAGAAACTCACATCAAATCCTCCCAAAAGAAGACCTGATTAGATAGATATGACTAAACAGTTTTCTGGTAATAATCCAATTTTACACATTAATTTGCTGTTGCAAATCTGTAGGTAATGAAAAACAAAGCAAGTGTAAAATGGATAGTCTGACACTTAAAAATTTATACAAAGTGGAGGTTAAAGTTTACATATTTGAAAATCACATATACACTAAATTACCATTATCTGAATTATCCAAAGACAAATTGCACCATAACAGCTATAGAAGGCATAGAGTTTTGTTTTGTTTTCCAGGGGACAAGAGGAGAGAGCAGAGAAGAGGGGAACAACAGATAAATTAACAAAGTAAGACCAACTTCCTAAGATCAATTGAAGACATGCTAACACAAATTAAACAGCTTTCATCTTCGAACCATTGAACAAAAACAATCACACTTCGCATTTGCACATAAAAGTCTAAACTGATTCCATGAACATTGAGAATTTTCATAACATAATATTTTGCCACTGCTATTCACAGAACACTGCAGATGTTTCAATTTTATGTTGTTCTAAAGAAATACATGAAGTTTTAAATACAATGGGATTTTATCATTAAAATGCCAGAATGGCTCTTCAATGAAAAAACAAAAACAAAGATCTTCATTATTCTATGCAAAAGCTTTATTTTTAAAAGTTCAGTGATCTCATAAATAGAGACACTAAGTGGGAGTTTCACGCATAAAACTCCTTAGTAGGTGCCTTCTGATAAGCAGCACTGGATGGTTTGCGCTCTCCAAGGTCATAACTTCCTTCATCCTTCTTTCTCATACGATACACCAACAGCAGGATAAGGAAAATTGCAAAAAGAAAGCCGATAACTCCACCAGCAATGACAGCTGAAACACACACCAAAAGGCAGATTACTTTGAGAAGGGATTCAAGGGTTGCTGAAATAGCTTTGTCAAGCCCAATCTATTTACAACACTTTTAAAAGGCTTAATTTGCAAACCCCCAAAATTGTAAAAACTGGATTCAATGAAGCAATCAGGCAATTGTGCAAATCTGACACTGCTCAGGAAGGTACAATACTTTCTTTGATTAGTATCAATAATATCACCCAAAAGCCTCAATAAGAAAAATCTGGCTGTGAGCTCAACTAATTCCACACTTTAAGATTCTTTAGTCTTTTCACCACTCACATTTCATAGTCTAATCTTCTAGTTGCCTTTTCAATGAAAACACAAAACATGATACAATTTACTTAAATTTTGTAAGAGGAAATAGGAAAAAAAGCATGCAAATTTTTTTTTTCTCAACTTGGATTTAGGGTTATTTTTTCAATGATTAAGTGTTCTTAAATCTTGCAAATCTTCCCCTTTAAAAATCAAATGTCAATACTTCCACCAGGTAAGTTACAATTAGAGAAACATCCTTAATGCCTTGGGTGTTATTTGTGTCAACTGACCTAACCTCTGAAGAATTTTTCCTTCTCTTAAATTTATTCTGAAATCAGAATGACTTGGAGCAAAACTGATTGATCTTCACATCCTGCTATCCCCTACACCCAGTCGTTCTGGACCAATTCAGATCTTTTTCCTCTTCCTCCAACCCAATGGCTGGCCAAGGGATAGGCTGAGTAAGCTGGCAGGAAATGAAGACAGCATTTGCCTAACTCTTGCCTTTCATTATGGAGAGAGGTCCCCCACCCCACCCCACCCAAATTTCTCTCAGTGGAAAAGTAACATTTAGCAAATTTTGCCTACACCTACCTTCAAATCTCACACAGACAGGCCCATTTAAGGGCCCTCTTATCTGACCCCTACCAGGCTACTCACCCGCCAGGACTTCTGTTCTTTTAAACAGATTGTCTGGGTGCTTCTCAGTATACACATTTGTATCCTCTTCAGCTGGGTCCATTTTTCTTTCTGAGTCAGACAGGTGAACTTTTTCCTTATCAATTTCTTCAGGTGACTGGTAGGGAAAAAGGGAAAATTTATAAATATTTTTTTCTTTTAATATGCTAAAAAGAATAATAGATAAGTATATTTAAAAGTTTAGGTTTTCTTCAAACAATAAATTTAGGAAATAATTGGAATAATCAGTTTGTGTGATGTTTATACCAAGGGGTGAGTCCTATAATAAACCCATGTGGTTTATGATTTTATATAACACTGATCATGTGTACAGGCAAGATGGATAGTTAGTGAGTTCATAATAATCCTAATGACATGGTTAAGTTGTTCAGTTGACATTTGATAAGATCTTACTTTCTCACCAGTCTTCTGACGTCAGACCACCATCTCTCTCTGGCTGCTTCAACCCGGTAACACTGTCCCAATTCTCCCTATTCCTTCATCTCTTTGGTACACTGGGCACTGTGATGACAGCTTCCTTTCAGGTGTTCTTTCTAGGTGCTCTCCAAGGGTTCTTCCTGACCCTGCTGTGTGAGGAGCAGTCCCCCAGGCTGACTCTGTCATCCTCCTCTCTACGTATACACTCTCACACCTTCAGCAAACCCTAAACTAGAGCTTCCGGGGACCTGGGTTCTACAAGTAGGTCCTGTGTGACCCTGACCAAGTCATACCACTTTTCTGGACCTCAGTTTCTTCATCTGATGAAGGATCCTCTCAGGCTTTTGGATGTTCCACAATTCTAAAGTATAAATCTAATATAGTAACTCTCACAACCTCACCTCCAGTCAGCATTATTACCATCTATCCAGCAGCCTGTAAGATACTACTGCCCTTGGTTGCAGCACTGAATCAGATCAACCCTCTTTTCTATTTCCATTAATAATACCAACTATTCTTTTGGGCCCCAAAGTTACTATTTTTGTACATTCAAAACAGTTTCATAAGTCCTGTCAATTTGTCTTTCACTGTTCTCTCAAACTGAGTTCCTTCCTTGAATTCTCACTTCCAAAGACTTGTTCAGGTCTTTATCACATCATATCTAAGTTCTTTTCTTGCAGCCACCTCATAACGGCATGTGCTGGGTGGCTTCCAGCCTTGACGCTAGCTTAATCCCCAGTATGAAACCCTGCACAGCCATCTCTGTTGCCACTTACCACAATTGATCTTAATATCTGTGCCTTGGTTCATGCATTTCTCCTACCTCCAATCCAAATTTTTCATTTCTTTCATTGTCCATTGGTCCTTAAGGAAGCTCTCCCTCATCTTTCACTTCTCTAAAACCTCAGAACATTTTGTAGTCTACCACACCAACACAGAAATCACCTGTTGGCTTTCTAACATTCAGCTCCAACACTGGCCATCTGTGTGAATGACCTACAGCTACAATGAAACTTGAAAAGTTAAAAAAAAAAAAGCAAGTCCTACCACTAGAGATTCTGTTTCAATTGGTCTGGGGTGGGGAAGCTACCATTCATTTTTGTTGTTTTTTAAAGACTCTCCAGTCCATCCTATGGTTGAGACCCACTGAGTTAAAGAAGCCCAGTTCAAATGAGTTGACTATTCTCTACGAGCCTGCAGTTCTTGTTTGTTAACACTACTGATGAAAAACACTGTCCACTGCATCTGGCTATTATTGTAGACAATAATCCTTTTTAGCTCTATTACTCTTCCTAAGAACAGTCAACCACCTTCATTAGGACTCCAGTCTGTGGCCCAGTTAAGTGGCAAATTGCTTTCTGAAGGCCTGGGTTCATTCAAAATGGCAGCCTGCTACTTAAGTCTAAACAGTTTAAGAAGAAAAGATCTCACCTTCCTGGGGTGCCTTAAGATCATTGGTATTTCTAGGATGGACAAGCTAGACCAGGTAGATCCATTTGAAATCTAGAGTATGTGAGGTCAGTGGGACTCTGCCTCAGTGAACAGAGCACAAGGCTTCTGCTGAAGATGGTACGTAATAAAGTGTGATGAAGTGTCTTACTTTACCAAGCCACAGGAAACCCTGTACTGGCTGAAACTACAACATGTTATGACTTACGAAAAGCACAGGCCATGGAGAACTTATCATTTCACAGCTGCACAAAATACACCCAAACTTTCACTGTTTTCTCACATCATTTAGAGAGAAGAAACTATGAAAGGTCTTCCCAGGCCTTCATGTATCAAAGTAAAGCAGAAGAGGGAAGCTCACTGGCAGTATTCTGCTTGGGTTTTCTCCATCCTTTTCATGGAAATCCCATCATTCATTGCCTGCCTGATCAAAGAACAAACAATTCAACAGATAAGAGAATGGATTCTCTGGGTTCTAATCTAGGGACCTTTCCACTGCTCATTAGCACTGCTACTAGAGATTAGGACAAGGAAGAGTCAACTCAACTAGGTGGGTACTCAGGTTTGTGAAGAGGGACGAAGGTAAGCAAGTTCTGGTGGCAGATGAGAGGGACATAAGGAGATACTATAATATCAGAGACTGAGTTTCACTTATCCACATCCTCTTTGTCCCACTGTTATGACAAATGAACATGATGTCCCCTCAGGTTTCTTGAGTCCCTAAAACATTGAGAGAGTTGACACTTCAATTCCTCCTGATTTAGCTTCCAATCCAGCAGCCAGGGAGCAGCTTGCATTCCCTGAGTCTGTGAGTGTGAGGACAGGAGGTCTCTAAGAACTGGGGTCACTGTGCACGTAGAGGAACAAATCGTCCATTGGTGCACCCACTCTAGATAGAACGTTTATTCTTTAAACTGAAAAGTTTTACTGTATGGAAGCACGAGCTTGACTAAGAAGAATTCTTTCTATAGTACAAAACTAACCTGAAACACCTAAACTCTTGTATGTATGTGCAAAATGAAAGTACAAAAAAGCAGCACAGATGATTGAATGAAACCAATTAAAGATCTGTTACATCCATGTCTGGTTGTTTAAATGCCACGGAAATGTAATGGAAGTAAAAGATTAAGAGCAATGCTCTTCTTGAACAAATAACTGTGTTCTATTTATTTTTTGTTGTATAAATTTACAACTAGATAGAGTATCTATAATGATGACATTAATGCCACTGTGAGGCCCATTCAAAAGTAAAGTCTGCATTAATGGTATCCCAGAGGCAATGTTTAATTTAGCTGTGCCATATAACTGCAAAATAAGAAAGTTAATCACTATTACTAATATTCATTATCAATATTATCAATTATCAGACCTAGAACAGTATTTGACACATAGTGAGTAGCACTCAATCAATCTCCCATGAATGAATGAAATTTTATTGTTACTACACTGAACACTGATACTAAGGATATAAATATATTAAAATGTTTGGAGATCCTTAATTTCTTAAGCTCATCTGCCAAACGTCTATCTTTTTTATCTTGATCTGACACAATTACTTCCTTAAAGCCAATTCTTAAAAACTTAAATCAATTTTCAATCCATTGTTGTCAACTGACCAGAACTCTATGTCAAATTAGGTTTGGCTTAGGATACTACTTATTACTGAAAGCCAAAACTGAGTTTCTTGTTTCAAGCTAGTGAGTCCAAATGGTCACTGACTTCAAGAGATTCAGTCAATAAGACAAGCAGTCAAATAAAAATGTGATAAAGCCAAATTTATCTTTAACAGTCACATCGGATAATTGTGCCATGTGCTCTGAGGTGTTCAGCCATCCTACCATCAATTGTACCTGTTACTTTTCATTTCTCCCGTTCTCCCTTCTTTCTTTCACTCACTCAACTTAATACTTTTATGGAGCAGCTGCCACGTGTGGACCAGCATATGCCAGGTATGTCGGCCTCAGGGCTCACAGAACTTCTTATCACATGGCCTGTGAAGTCAGTCAGCTAACAGTAACTGGCTCTTCTTAATCCTACAGAGAGCGCTCCAGTCTGAAGAGCGCTGGTCCATATCTGCAGACACCCATCCAGCTGTGTCATTCATCAGCCTCTTCACAGGCACTGGAAGGACAGAGGGTGGACGCTGGGGCGGCGTGGGGGGAGGTGGAAGTGGGGGAGGAGGACAATGGCACTCTGGAAAAGGCAGAAAAAGGAAAGGGCAGGAAGCCCACCTGTGTACCTGCCTGCAGATGGGAGTGCCTTACTCCAGAGAACGCCTGTCACTATGTTCATGACACAGCTTTCCACATCTTCTGCTGCTAAAGCTTGGCAGCATCTCCTTTCTAACCAACAGATGGGTGAGTTCCAAAAGGGGACACTTGTGTTTCTTAGTTTCCATTAGCAGCATGCTACCCATGGACTGTCTACAAAGTCCACCACTGTACCTATTACACACACTCATTTGGTGAATTGGTTTGGTCTCGACTTCTCTAACCAAATTCAGTTAAGGCTTACAGAATGATTACCGGGTCTCAGGGGCCATGTTACTTGCCTTCACATTTAAGCTTCTCAATGGCTCATGGGGAATGGACTCTGAGAAGCTCAGAAACTTGTCCAGATCCAGGATTTGAAACTTAGGCCTTATTCAGACTTTAATATTCATTTTCCAACTTAAATAGCTTACCCAGCAGTGGGTGGTCAGCTAATTGCCATTTAATGTTAATAAGGCCAAAATCATAAGTCTCATAGTTTTCATTTGCTAGTAGCTTTGCTCTGTTCTACAGCCAAAAACCTTATTTCTTGGCCTAAGTCAGCTCTCAAAACGAATATATAGAGATGTACTCAGATTAATTATTATCACTGAAAGAGGGCAAAGTTTGCATACGACTGATGGCGGGCAGTGGAGACTTTGAGAAAAAAGTATTGTGACCAGTGTTTAGAGTCTCCTTATTCTATAACCTGTTTCAGCATATGTAAAGTTTACAATGATTATAACTCAGACAAAATTCTTTATGAAATGAAAACAAATTTTCTTGGCTTGAGCCAAATAAGTGGAAAAGGTTTTACAACCTTACTTGTCTGTGAGTTCCTTAAGAAGGGGCACCCTGGGGTAGCCGGTTAGCTCAGTTGATTAGAGCGCAGTGCTCATAACACCAAGGTTGTCGGTTCAATCCCCACATGAGCCATTGAGCTGTGCCCTCCACAACTAAATTGAAACAACTACTTGACTTGGAGCTGATGGGTCCTGGAAAAAAACACTGTTCCCCAATAAAATTTTTTTAAAAAAATTTAAAAAGGAGCACCCTATAAAAACTATTCATATATAAGCTAGCCAGAGTGATAAAAGTAGTAGGTAGAATGAGCTTCCAAGCCATGAAAAGACATAGTGGAACGTTAAGTGCACATCACTAAGTTAAAGAAGCCAATGTGAAAGGCTACATCCTGTACGATTCCAATTATGTGATGTTCTGGAAAAGGCAAGACTTGGAGACGCTAAGAAGATCAGTGGTTGCCAGGGTTTAAGGGGAAAGGAGGGATAAATAGGTGGAGCACAGGGGACTTTTAGGACAGTAAAACTGTTCTTTATGATCCTATAATGGTGAGTACGTGTCATCCTACATTTGTCAGAACCCACAGAATGACAACACCATGAGTGAGTCCTAAGGTAAACTATGGACTTGGGGTGCTATTGACATGTCAATGTAGGTTCTTTGATTACAACAAATGTACCACTCTGGTGCAGGGTGTTGATTGTAGGGGACGTTGTGCATAGGTGAGGGCAGAGGTATATGGGAAATCTCTGTACCTCCCGCTCACTTTTGCTGTGAACCTAAAATTTCTCTAAAAATCAAAGTCTATTTAACACATAAAAAAGTAGTCGGTGGGTAAATGTCAAAACAATCATAAAGAGTAAGAGCCATTTAAATACTATAAGGAAAAGAGCATTTGTCCTTACAGATTTTTAAACGGGGCCTCTTAAAAGAACCATTCTGAATAATTAAATGGAGGTGAATTTATAGCAACTTGATAATGCAATGCAAAACAAAGCAAAACACACCTTCGTCTGAGCAGGTACCTTGTTCTGTACCTTCAGCGTGGTGATTTCCACTTTGGGAGCAGCACTAGTGAGCGGTATCTTTGGAAGTGGTCGAGATGTTGTCAGCTCAGGACTCTCTATGTCCTCATCAGCTCCTGGAAAAAGAAGAAAGATGAGCTGAGTACATGAATCATGATGCAGATTTCCATATTATTAGACAATATTGTCTAAGGTTGACACTGACAGAGCCGTGTTCTTTCAAAATAGTAGCTCATCAAAAATTCAGCAGTCTTCATTGCAGTGAAGAAGTGATTTTTAAAGTGCGTCGCGGGTAGCCTGGCAATTTTTAAAATAATATTATTATCCCGAACACTCTCAAGTAGCCCTTCTTTCACTTGCAAGGTGCAACCTCTCCTGCTCAATGAGATTTCTCCCCTTCTACATTTTAAAACACAACAAAATAATAAGCAAAAAAGGAAGACTCTCCCACAGCTGACCCCTTATCTAATGGAGCTCCCCTTTTTCAGTGATATTATAGATTCTTTTCTTTTATTTTATTTTATTGAGGAGTTGGGGGAGGAGAACAGTGTTGGGGAGTTGGGGAAGAGGTACAGACAAGTTGCTGTTCTTTTTGTTCTTTGGTCTAGTTGTGGAGGATGTTGCTTCACTGGCCCATGTTGGTATTATCATTGCGCTCTTCCCGGGTGAGGCAGCCCAACTCCAGGTCGAGCTGTTGTTCACCATCTTAGCTGTAGAGGGCGCAGCGTCACTGGCCCTCATGTGGGATCCAAACCAGAGCCCTGCTGCTCAGAGCTGGTGCTCCCAAGCCAACTCCTAACCAACACACCACTCATTTGGCCCTGTAGATTCTTACTAGGTCATTTCCTCACCACCTACTCCGCTCTGCTCTACCCTCCCTCGTCAGATTTTTCCATCATCACACTTGGTACTGTTTTGTTAGGATCACCAATATCCTCCATGTTGCTATTATCGATCCAATGGCATTTTCTAGAGTGGTCCTCATCTAATCGAGCTTCCTAGCACCACTGACACTTGTCAACCATCATCTCCTTCTTGATATATTATCTTTGGGCTTCTATGACTCTGATGTCCTGGTTTTCCACAAACG